GTAATATGTAAGCATACAACATGATTGTAGCATAATATGATCAGATTTCAATTTAGACACATAGATAGATAATACTTTATTAATCTCGTAGGGAAATTGATGTGTTACAGCAGTCCAGCACAATACAAGCAAAAGCAGACATCAGAATAGTTATAAAAACAAAAGACAACAAAATAAATAAAAATAAATTAATAAAAAATAAATACATAGGTGTGTGCAAAATGTGATGATCATAGTCACTGTAAAAACAATAAAATATATGCAAATGTGCATAGGTTTATACAGACTGATTGTCCAAAAAGTACAATTGTCCAGATGCACAGAATTATTGTGCATCTGGACAATGCAATTGTCCAGATGCATAGAATTAATCAATTATTTCTACACATTTACTTTATACTGTACTTTTATTTGTTTATTCTGCATTTAATATAACTACAGTGTGTATATTATACAAGCAAAGATTTGATCATATTTCCACAAAAGGACCATTACTGATATGCAGAGGCAATCTGACACATAGGCGTTTCGTCTTTTAATTCCTGAATTTCTGCAAGAAGTTGCATTTATTTTTTGCAAACAGCTGGACAACGATTTTCAGAAATATGGTATCAACTTATCTATGTGGGAATGAATTGTATGACATGGCCTTGTGTACATTGGTTTATCTCGTAGTATGAAAATAACTACCATTGCAGTTATAAATTATGTATAAAGATGTTGTTGCAGTTGAAATTAACATCATATTTAAGAAATAGTTTACCACTTAGGCATTTTTTTAATTGATCATCTATTCCGAAGTTCCTTGAAGCTGCAACGTTTGAGGAGCAGAAAACAATTAAAAGATTTGATCAACCACATAGTTTATTGAGGTGCTTGATTAGGAATCCAAGAGTCAGGATGGGTGAAAACCAGTCGAGACAATGTGAAGTGTGAACAGAAATAAAATAGTTATTCTCGTTTTGAACAGAAGATGGTGCCCAAGTATTTTTTTCGTTAAACACTTCGCAAAAAAAACTCACTAGGAGACCAAAAATTAATGTATCAATAAGTAAATTAAGCTTAGAATAAAGGAGTTTGAAATTTTTGTAGCTATACTTTTGACATATTATTTCTAATCCCAGTAATTATGGTAGTAGTAATAGTATTGTTATTGCAGCTACTAATACTAAAGTTTACCAAAAACTGACGAATTGTACTCTTTTTGACTTTCGCTATGGAGAAAAAAAATTGAAATCTGAAATTAATTAATAATCTATACTTCTTGATAACAGCTGTTACTGTATGTCCGGTCTCACATTCAATGTGCTAGAGGGACATAAATCAGTGTATTATAATTTCTAAGGACTTTCTAAACATTTGATCGTGAACAAATTGTTTAAATAACCTAAGACGTACTAATTGTGAAGGCATTATTATTTTAAAAAGTTATTATATTCCAAGGTTGTATAAGGTAATGCAGTTTAAAAGGTAAAATGTGCCCTACAGAATCAAACAGTATCATTGGATTGAAGGGGTGCACATTTCATATCAACATTATTTGCATAAATACGAAATGGAGACCGTGTTAATGCCCATAAAAAAGTAACCTAGACGTTTTTAAAACCCGTATTATTACGGAAACAATGCGAATGCGAGTAATTACTTTGGAAGGGGTAAATATTATGCTGTATTAATTTAAACCGTATTTTCAATTAAAAGGATCAAAGGATTATTACTTTGTTCTGTATTAAGAGCAATTTATGATCATAATCCTTACAATAGGAATTTCATTTTCTCCAAGATATATGAAGCTCGATGTAACGCCCGTTAAACTTGAGCTTATTCTGAAAGAAAGCCTATTCACTTCCCATACGTGAAAAATGACACAAGGTCATGGCAGTTTGTCCTTTCATTTTAATTCTATGTCAAATATTAAACAAGGTTACCTGCACATTTACAAGATGAATAACAGGAGTGAGAAATCGCAATTTATACTTTGAAACACGAAAGATCAATGTCATCTTTTTTGCGCATCACAAATTCCACAGTTTGATCATTGTATCTAATACAACCTGTTTAGACACAGAATAAGAAATTCAGGAATATAACAAACCATAAACGCGAACGAGGTTTACCGGGCATTCTTTACAGCTTTAAAGGGACAACTGTTCGAACTTCAATAAAACAGATACACCTTTAAGTTTGATTAGTAAGTGTCTTATCACAACCAAATATACAACTTCAAGAAAATCAGGCCTAAGTCATAAACCTATAGCCCGAATATCCTTTCAGATATGTTCCTAATATAAAACAAATGCTGTACTCTACACTGCACTACAGCATACTCTATAGCTCTTAGTAAAATTAAACACTTAGTGATCTTTGAAGTAAAAGGTACTAATGTTAAAATAGATTGACATAAATACAGAATGAATTCGATGTGTCAATATTTATTATAAAGTTACACCATAACTTAAGGTTAAATCATTGCTTTGAGGAGAAAAACTATGGAAAGAGAACGAAAGCGAATATATTGAAATATTCAGTGAAAATATTCAGTTTCCTTTACCGTATTCACTGTTTGGTTGATGCAATGTCTAAATTGTTCCAGGTTGTGATCTTTAATGTCCAGGGGTCTACATGGCGCCGTCCACATGGAGCTGAAAGAAAAACTGCGATTCTCTCCGATAACTGCCCATTGCGATCTTAAAGATGCTAAAAACAAAAGTGAGTTTTGTTTTCTGTCAAGCCTCAGGGAAGAAAAAGAAAAAAAAAAGATCTCTTCTTGAAAAGAGTCAGCAAATCCTTTTTGCTCTTTTGTGCGAACCTTTCCTTTTCAGATGGAGCGTTCATCCGTGTGATTCTCAACTTATTGTCATTACTTATTTATTAATTGTTCTCATCTGGGTGTAATTGAGCAATGAGAGATTCCAGCCCAAAGGGTGGACAAACTGGTGCCCAGAGCAAAACTTGTCACATCGCTGTCTTTTCTTCTGACATCTGCCTGTGATTGATCAGGCTTAATTCCAAAGTCTTCATTTCAAAAGAACTGAAAGCGATTACTGCAACGACGAAGATGATTTAATAATAATAATAATAATAATAATAATTACAGATTCCTAAAGCTGATGCAAATTGCAAAATCAATGTTCGAATTACGATCGCTATTTATATCTGTCTGCATTTTATGTTCAGAAGATAATAACAGGTAGGCCTATAGGCCTGTTTTCTTAATTGTGTATTAAAACCCTCATTGCCAGTTTAGGAATGATAAAAGTTCCATTTTGCCTCCAGCTACCGTCTAGCTGGAGCCAAAGTGCGTCTGTGGAATATTGCCTTTGCTCATACAGTAATTATTCACCTCCAACTTAGCCTCAACCTAAAAGTTTTCAATTGCTGAAAACTGGACTATAAACGATTTGTTTTTAAATGAATTCGGGTGGAAAAATGAAAACATGTTTTGTGTAGCCGCTTGTATTTCCAGAGACGATATTTAAGTAGGACCAATAGCGCATCGTCTGTTGAGGAATTACAGATGCGTCGGTATTGAAATTAAGCCTGCGTGGTGAACAATCCCCCCTGGGAATTTAATATTACTGTTTATGGAATGATCAAACTATTCCATAAACAACAAACTAACTTCTTTACAACCGAAGACCTGTCACCTTTGCGATTGTGTTTTTTTAGGGTGTAATTGTGTCTGTACTTAATTGTAGACCACGCTAGGCTTCGATCCAATCTCCAATCTTAATTGTAGATCGAAGTCCAGCAACTGGTTTTGTAGATACTGGTCCCACAGAGCTTGCCCGGCGCCAAGACAATCTGAGGAGGTTATTTCAAAGCAATAGGTAACAGCTGTAGAAATATTCAGTTATGTTCTGTAAAATGATATATGACAGTTTAAATACACACTATAACACCTAACCATTACAACTAAAGAACTGTATGGGCGTCTTTTTAAAAAGACCACATTCCTTACCATCGTTAAAGGGAAGAGAACTATAATTAAGCCAAACAAAATCTACACTTGTAACTCAGTTTCGAAAACTGAACCTGTCAATCACATTTTTTTTAGATTATCAAGGCCAAATAAATACGAAGAACGGAATGTCACGTTTTCAGTGTTAAATGTTGACTCTCATAAATACATGCATATTGTTGCCTAAACAGATTTTCACATTAACCCTTCTTTTCAACGAAATTACAAATTTAAATAAATCGGCATTTTCCCTTAGTCCGTGAAAAAAAAATGTAAATCGTAAGAGATTACATTTGTCTTGAGTGTTTTCGGTAGACAAACCAAAAATTAATGCAGAAAAAAAAATCATATGACAACTATTTACACCAATAAATAATACTCGTTATATGTACATGTGCTATAAACAATCATTGAATCCATTTTCAATAGGCATGTTAAAATGGTGTGTAGGGAACTACTTGTGAGTTCTAGCTGCAGAGAAGTAGTAAATTCTATGCTAAAATAAAAACAAAAACTTCAGGTGTGCAAGCTCCAAAGCCGAAACATTGCATTGCTTTCTTCTTATATAATTGAATTTCGTTGTACCCAACATAAAGCAGGGTAAATGTTCAAATACATTAGAACCTTTCTTTATAGTTAAATCATTAGTTATGAAAAAGTTAGCTGAATATGGTATGTGCAAATCTTCGTTTTATTACAATAGCGTGCTGCACTCGCTTGATACTAATAAAGTGTTTATTTACAGCCGATTTTGTTTTACATAACTCATATGTGCAAAATAGGGACGGTTCTCCGCCATACACTGAGACTGTAGGTTACCCCGTCATCATTCCGGGACACAGTGCTTTTATTTTCCAGTGTTGACTCCTGAAAAGTGTTAGTTATTGTTGGTATTTGTTTTTAATGAAGTGTAATCATTTGTTGAATTATTTCTAAACTTAGAAGCCCCTGTCTCAACCATATGCAATAAAGACGGACTAGCACATAATGAAAAAGAATAAACATTTTATTGTTAATTTATTTAACAAATATAGTCATAATATAAATGATGATATTTTTCAAATATACAGTATATTACAGTACACAAATCCCTTTCAAAGGGAACAATAACACACACAACAGACAGCGCTGTTAAATTAAATTGCTAGTTTTCGTTTTGCGATTTCAATAAAGAGTATTCGTCTACTGATGAACTGCCATTAGAAACACACTCCCCAAACTGTTTTACTTTTGAACGTCGAAGTAGCCCTCGCTTGCTATAGATTCTTTTTAACTATAAGTGGAGCATATTTCTATAGAATATTGATAATGCGCCAGTCTTATTTAAATAAAACACGTGGGGGGGGAAAGAATCACAAAATAAAGGCCAGTATAAACGGCTTCAGGTATCGGTGGTGATCAGTTTAATAAACGAAGCTGAACACCTGTAAACTGTGTTCAAGGATCTTCTCAAAATAAGTCTTTTAAACTTGATTTATGGCATGTTTTGACCGTGGCCTTACCAATTCATTTGTCAAATCTAGAATCACTATCCGTCGTACCCATTTCTCTCATTGAAGAAAAGTTCGTTCTCGTTGGTCAAACATATGAATGACAATTTTTGTGGCACTTTTCTGTTACTGTGGTGTTGGAATAAAAAGCTACCGGAGGTATATTCGAAGTCACCAATGGAGGGCCTGTCGTTCATGCCAGGTGATACATACTATATCCAACATGAGCTGCATAGAGTCCAACTGGAGACACCGGCAACGAATGTCTTTGAAAAGGATGCGATGCGGCGTAGGACGTGGGGACATGAGTACCAAGTGGAAAGGAAATTCCAAACGCCGGAGGCAACATTGGTTTGGCTGCCATTTTCAGTTTCTCTAATTCTGCTTCTTGCAGCCTCTTTGCTTTCGCTCTTCTGTTTTGGAACCAGATTTTGACTTGCGTCTCTGTCAGGTTGAGCGAGCTGGAGAATTCTGCTCGTTCAGCTATTGACAGGTACTGCTTTTGTCGGAATTTCCTCTCCAGCGCCAAAAGCTGAGAAGTGGTAAAAGGGGTCCTGGGCTTCCTATTAGTTTTGTGCTTTCTCAAGGGACAGGCAGGGGGGCTGAGTCTTCCTAAAATAATCACAAACACGAATAATTAGTTTTTCATACAGATTCAAGACAAAGTATAAACACTATAAATCTTGTTAATTTTGACCGTTTGTATAAATGACTAAGTCAGTCTATAATGCTTTCCTGGAAAGAAACTCGGACTTTTGCAACACAAAACACCGTTTTGAGGTTTCTCGAACTTAAAGACTTCAGCTTGTATTAAATTGTATTTGTAAAATATAAAATTATAAAAAAAATAAAGAACGGTTCAAAAATAGTTTTCTCTAAGCACCTCTTTTCGAAAACTATTTCAAAGTGGCTGGTCACTTGCAAGTACATAGAAATTGTCTTGTTTTTAACACCAGCGTTCATTGCAGTGAAGTATCGCACGTGCGCTCCCCTTGGTAGAAAACAACCATAGGTGAGAAACATATCGTGCATATAACCACAAACATATTTGTTAAAATTACAAGCTTACATCAAGGGATTTCCACAAAAAAGAAGAATATAAATCAGAAGACAAGACACAAGAAAAAGCAGAAGAAACTTACTTGAAGGCGGAGGAGAGAACCGTGGATTTTGTATCCAAGAATTCCGCTCTTGCCTTTCCGGGCTCTCCGATTTGACAAGTGCATCCTCTTGCATTTTCATTAGTCCTCCAACTGAGAACGGCGAGTTGATGGTCAAAGTGGAAACCGTGGTCTCTGGACTATTTAATGTACCCATTCTTGGACTTAGTGTATGAGATGTTCCTGCAACAGATGTTCCTTCGGTACCTGTCAAATCTCTGCTGGGTTTCTTATCTGCCATTAGAGCTTCAACACTAAATGGAAGGATAGTAACTTTAGGCTTCTCCGTTTCCTCTTCGCCTGCCATATTCAGATTAGTTTGCATTTCGCTTCTGTTCAGCGCCGCGCGTGAAGTCTCTTCAGCTTTCAAGTCAATCGTTAAAGAAGTCATATCAATACTTGGGGCCATACAGAGTCAGTCTGTTCTAATGTCAATGGTCAAAGCGAAATCAAACTCACAGGAAAGGAGCGAGATCCTTCTGCATTTAAAACATGGTCACGTTTATTGAACACAGTCGCAAGACCTTACTATAAGGGAGGCTGACGGAGGACGTTATCCAATGAGCACCAAGAGGGGTGGGACAGAATTCAGCCGTTCGCTTTTAGGGCAGTTCATGCTGTCATCTAAGACTTTCAACGAGTTATTGGGCTGGGGGAATGTAAACAATTAAGTTACACATTTCGTAGCTAAAGACCTGTTTTAATATACAAACACAATCAAAACCAGCTTTTGTTGACGCTGTTCAGAAATGGAGCGTGAATTTGATGCTCCATGTGAAAAAAAATAGTATTATTATCAACAACAACAATAATAATAATAATAATAATAATAATAATAATAATAATAATAACCCTGTGAATATACTGCTTGCATAACATTACTCAGTCTCACATTACACTCATTAACATTACTCTTAATGTGATTGGCCCCTTGCTGAGAAAAGTTTATTGATAGCTCCGGGGCTCTAATCTCGTGGAAACACACAAGCCATTGCAGTCATTTAAGGGTAATTATCTGTCTTGGAGGAGGGATCATTGGGAATTTTTTCCTTTGACGAGATCCATTAAAATCAGAAATGATGTGCATTCATAAAGGGGGTGAGGTAACAGAGAGGGAATGCTAGATTAAATTGGTTACCCCAGACAGATATTTAAAACTTATCATCGTTATCTTCACGGTTGCATGTTTCGTAATCGTTTGGTGAATTAAAAAAAAAAGCTGAAAAGATTAAACTATTCAAAAGTAAACCTAAATTTAACAGACTCTTCTGAACGACCTCTTCTAAAATCCACAAAAAGCTAATTAAATTTAAAAGACAGTTATTTTTCCTGAAAAAAAGACCAACCACATTTTATAAAGTCTTCTTTTCAGTTATTATCAGATGTGATGCAATATAAAATTAATGTGCTGTTAGATGTATGGAAAGCAATAAATACATTTTATTTTCTTTGTGGATTTAGTACCTTCTCTGGGAAGCGTCTGCATCGCTAATTGCTAAGTATAAACAATCTGTCACGATTAGTCAGTGCCTCTAATAGGCAGACAAGTTATGTTGTTTTTAGGCGCCAGCAGCGGTCTGATCAAAGGACTCAACTTCAGGGAGACTATTGAAAAACTTTAACCCGCATCAAGAGAGCAGCCCGCCTTCTTCTGCCCGCCCTAGCCCTGGGACATTAGGCTATTCAGCCTGAAAAATTAGCTTTCTCAGCCGATCGCACGCCATTTTCCAACTTTTTTCATACGGACTAGTTTAATAATACTCAGAGAAAAGGTCACCACCCCCCACTAGTGATCATGAGAGCACCCCCCAAAATAAGAATTCCTCGTAACAAACCCCTGCGCTGAAGTCTCGAGAATGGAATGTTCTTTCCTGCTTGCTAGTGTGCATCATTCTGTGACTTTCAAGTTACAGTCGGTTTACTATATCAATACGAAGTGTTTACTGGCATGAATTCTTGAGCAAACGCAGCTACTACAAAAGAGCTATTGATTGGATTTTCATAAACTGAGAGGTTTCCTTTTCAAATGTACACGGTGTGCAAAATTCATGTCAGAACTACAGGATTACATTTTCCAAATATTTTGCGGTGTTCTTGTTCCTGTTATCTTGGCAACAGTAATTGGTTGTAACTGATATAAAATTACACGCTAACAGTAATTTTGTATTTCCTTAATTTCGCATCCGGCACTTAGAAGAAATAAATCTGCAATTAAGTTTGGAAACACTTACAGCCCATTACATAAAATGAGTAGCACTGTGTGCTTTCCCGTTCCTCTCCTTTGATGTCCTAAAACCTCTTAAGTAACAAGGCTTCTTCAAAAGTGAAGCATCCCAATGCACTGAGATGTTATGTGTGAATAAATGCAAGACGCAATTTTCCGGCCAAACATGAATATATACACGAGTACACGCAATTACACACTTAAATGTTGTCACCTTGTATCGCACCCTTTAAAAGGCATATGTATGTAGAGAGCACACGTTTTAGAATTTCGTCTAGCTGTGGTCCAGTGAAACATTTAAAACCTTCGACAGATTCGACTTGCTATTTCAACAATTTGCGAAATTACAGTCTGACGTTTGTAGTAGCAGTTTACATTTTCAGCGTTTGCTTCAGTATAGTGTTTGTATTGGGAAATGTGGAGCTCAGTAGGACATTGACGCTAGATAACAATATTGGGCAATTAGCATCCTAAACAGTGTCTTTTAAAGTAATGAATGTGCCACGGAAAGCCGATTACCATAGCGTTTGATTTCAATTTCAATGCAACAAATGAGGGCTGAACTAGGATAAAAAGCAACTATAAGCCACTTCAGACCTTTGTTTGACTTTATAAACTTTATCTTTGATTCGGTGTGAGGAGGCAGCAGAAAGGGACAATGACCCTTTGTCTTCCTCGCACCGAAGTTGTCTTAACTCTTTTCATGCAAAGCCTGTCAATTTTGACATTAAAGACGGCGGACTTCAAACAATTTCACAAATACCAATGCTTTCGGTCGATGAAATCTATATTACCTTATAATGAAGTGCAAAGTCTTCCGGAAGAGATAGATGTTGCTCATTTGACTTTTCATTTTCAGCTTTTATATTCGTCTTTTAATTTAAATGCATGGAGTTGACATTTTTATGGTAATGTTAATTCTACTAATTTCTGATTTGTTTCTTCCGCACTTTAGGTTTGCAAAACTGTATGCATTATTGCGTAATCACCTGACAAACAGGTTTCATTGTCTTTGTAACAACAAAGATGTAGTACGGAAGAAATTCCTGCAGAAGTGGTTGCTATCTCTTTAAAGCTCCTAGAATATGCAGCTTTGAAAGGAATGCACTCTTTCGAGTGGCCGAAATTAATTTGATCGCGACATTATGATGCACTTGAAAAAGATGAAAGAAAAGGCTGGCCGTCTCCTGCAAGATCTCTATAATTATAGATAATATATCCTATTTCAAAGCAATTAGCCCAATCAGGCGTAACGAGGCACTTTGCTGCCAGGGAGTAACAATGCCTTACGGTTATTTAAGCTTCAAGATGTCAGGCAGACTCCAAGGGTCTTCAGCTTGCCTAAAAGTCTTGGCTCAGTTGGTAATTCCGTGGCAGCGTAGTCTTTTCACTGGCACAGTTCTATATAAGTAATAATGGGGGTTATTATGTTGCTAACTTGCCAATTCTAAGTTTCGAAAAGCTGGTATGCTCTGTCTCACTTCAAGGATGTAAATTATGAAGGCGCTTTAGCTTTATATAACAAATATGGTAAGTGCAGGAGATATTAACTCCTGAAACTCCCCCCTGCCCCCCAACACACAGAAACACGTAATTTATATATGTCTTTCTTCATCACAAGAATACGCATACAAGTTGTACTAGCTTTAAACGTCAGGTGCCACCTGGAAGTGTCTTGTCGTCGATAAAGCCAGCTAATCTGTTCTAGGAAATTAAATATTTTATTGCTCAATCATTTTTTTTCTGTCAGCAGGCTTTTAATTTTAATCCCAAATACGTTCCCACCAGGACTAACCATTTCAAGTGTTCTTGTGTACCACTACAGGACATCTGTATTTAAAATTTCCTATTGTAGTGCTTCTCTCGAGCACACATACTGTAAATTACGCAAACGATACTTTAACAAGCATCATTTATTACAGATTATTATTGCTACAGATTATTGGGGTTATTATTACAAATATTTGTAGCAATAATAGAATACGAACAGCACTTACCGTAACCTAGTTCGTTATTAAACCAATAAATATTTTCTTTTGACATATTTCGCACAATAATTGTAAATGAAATACGCTTCAAGACCATTATCAATGCGTTTTAGGTCAGTAAGGAAAATTCTAAAAATTGTTGCATTGATCTGGTTGTAAAAAAACACTATTAATACGGATTTTCTTCCTCGATCCTAGCAATTGCTATTGATGATAGATTTATTGTTTTGCATACCCAGAACACTCCTGTTTTACAACGTGGAGACGCTCATATTTTTAAATCCCTTCACGTCCCAGTTGGCTCACTTCGTTCGGCTGGTGTTAGCCTCCTTAATGTTCCAACGACTTAACATCGTACAGAGGTTTTTCAGGGGTAGCTGCTCGTCTTATGGATCTTCTTCCCGACCATATTCATGCTTTAAAATGCCTTAAAACTTACATGTCTTCCATGTCCTTTAATTCATAATCTGTTGAAGTCCACAGTTATACATGGTTCTATTGTATTTTCTGTTTACAGTATTTTCGATATGTATAATTTTGTGTACAATTCCTTGTGAACGCTCTGGACTAAAAGGCGCTATATAGAAATAATTAATGAATTATGTAAAATGTTGCTCTATGCAATTTAACACGACTGCCAATGCAAGTAGCAGCTTGGCCGTAATGCACTAAAGTAATTCCTTATTACTGTATATCCAGTTTCACAGTACTGGGTACAAGTCTAGTCACAAGGTGTTCAACAACAAACAAACATGTAAGAAAAAAATAACTAGAGAACCGGAAAAGACTGAGTAGAGCTGTTAATAGAGTGATCTAATAACGTTTGGCCTGTGGATGTTTTTGGTCTAATGTATTAATGTGTTGTTTCTTTTGTCAAAGTAGCAGCTTTGGCAATAGTGTAAATAGACATGTCAATAAAGCAACCCGAAACACTGGCTGAGAAAAAAAAACATCTGGATTTTACTCGTGGTCGAAAAAAGATTATTTCTGAACACTGACGTACACTGAGTAGTTAATTCTATTTTATTGTTATTCAAGGAAATATCGTGCTTCCTCTTGCACATTTATTTCTGTCATAAGGCGATAAATGAGCTACCAGAGAATATCTATTTCAGCTGAAGACACGACTAAGACCTAAAAATAACATAAGACTGTATGGATCTGCTATAGCTATATCCTCGCATTAGAGTTCACGTTGGTATTTGTGTGTATATACAGTCAATTACACTATTGCATTTTTTTCAGAGCACCTTTTGTCACAGATAACATTCTTTTAAGTTTTTTTTAAGGCAATATCCTTTTTCTTTTCTTTTTTATCGAAAAACGGTCACTGTCAAGCACGTTAACTTTTGAATGTGTATGTATCTTTGCAATTAAGTGCGTGTCTATGATTAATGCATACGCACTGTATATCTGTTTTGTTACATATGTAAGTCTTCTATAAGGATGCAAAAGTCTCTTTAATGCTCGTGTTAGACAAGCT